ATCAGCGCAATCTAAAGACATTTCGACGATTCATCATGAAAAAGAAAGTTGTCATAACTTCAGTGTACATGGTCAAATCTCAGTGAAACTTCACGGTTGATAAGAGTCCAGCCCTGAACACGTCTACATGACAATGTTCAGATATAGTTATAGCGCCACCTAATGGCAACAGGAAGTAAGCACTGCGTTGTGATTTTAATCCGATTTCTCTGAACTTTTCATGTTTCGACCCACACGTGTTACACCTTCACGTGACGCGGCCGCAGAACACCCGAGTTGCGTGGAGTGCGAGGGCCCGTTCATCGCTGCGTACACTTATTGAACTAAATCCTTGAAAATTAACATTTAATAGTCTTTCCACATAATCTTTTTTATCATCATTTAATAACCTCTGAATTCCTATTAGTGGAGTACACTAATATTAGATTTTTCATTAGCTGTGTACTGCAGGGTGGTTGTTCACCAGGTTGCTGATATTATGTCCAGCTGTCTCTAATTTTGAGCTGTGATTGTATGTTAATAAATAGACTTAGACTTGAGAAGGGACAGTATGAAGGCATTACATAAACTTTGTTTCTCACCAGGTCTTTGCACCACATGCAGTATGGCCCAGATCTGATACAATCCTCGCAGGAGTTGATCACAGACTTCAAGCAAACCTCCGCTTGTTGACACAGTCCTGCATAAAAAACACAATTCATGCCTCAAAGTTTCATGAAGAAACTGTAAAATCACAACCAATTATAACATTTAAATAATACACTATGGACACAAATAATTCATATTCTTTATTTTTAGATCTATAGAAATGAAATATATTTTGCAGGGGTGGGTGAATCAATTCCTGTACTATGCATAATACTGAAACCATGTCCTGTTTTAATTATCAATACTAGTGTCAATAACATCAATACAAAACAACAGCATGCCTCATTATTATTATTTCTTTACACATTAAACATTTGTTATTCCCAAATAATCTTTATTATGTTAATGTGTGTGATGTCTTAAAATAACATGTACATGATATGAACTGTATGATGTTTGTTTTCTAAGATAATTTTTTTAGTCTGAACATTACTTAATATTGAATCTGCCAATTTTATTTTGGCTTTTCATTCTATTTCACTTCCTTAACAAAATGGTGTTACATATATCTGGGCGGCTGTGGCTCAGAGGCAGAGCAGGTTGTCCACTAATCAAAAGGTTGTTGGTTCAATCTGCATGTCAAAGTATCCTTGAGCAAAATACTGAATCCCCCTGTGTGAATGTGTGTGAAAGTGCGCATATGTTCTCCCTGGATCGCCACCTTGCCGTTGTGGAGAACCTTGTGTGTTCTAATGAGCCTGAGAGCAATGCCGTCTGGAGCTTAAGCTCCTGGTAGGGTCACCCATGGTGGTAAGGTTGAGGGGGAGGTTCCAGACAAAGCGCGATCCAAGACCTCAATGGCGGATGTGGCGGAGGATGACAATGTGATAATGGTCATACATTGGAGCCTGGAACGTGCGGACCCTCATGGAAAACAAAAAGAGTGATCGACCTGAAAGGCACACTGCCATCATCTCAAGGGAGCTAAATAGATTCCAGATCGACATTGCAGCGCTCTCTGAAACCTGACTGGCTGATGATGGGGGGCAGCTCAAGGAGGACAAAGGCGGATACACTTTCTTCTGGAAGCCTGCAAATGAGCCACGTATCCATGGTGTGGGTTTTGCTATTAAGAACAGCCTCATCAACCACCTCTATGAACTCCCTGTGGGCATCAATGAACACCTGATGACCATACGCCTTATGCTTACAAGCAGTCAAATGACCTTCTATGCTGATCTTGACAAAACTCTATCCAAAGTCCCCAAGGAGGACAAGATAATCCTACTTGGGGATTTCAATGCCAGAGTGGGACGAAACCACCATTTATGGAGAGGCACGCTAGGGAAAGAAGGGATTGGAAACACAAACTCCAATGGCACACTACTGCTGACAAAGTGCTCAGAACACAACCTGGTCATCACCAACACACTCTTTCGCCAAAAGAACACATTCAAAACATCATGGATGCATCCGCTCTAAACTCTGGCACCTCATCGACTACGTCATTGTCCGCACCAAAGACCGCCGTGATGTGCTTAATACCAGAGCAATGACCAGTGCAGACGACTGCTGGACTGACCACCGCCTTATTCACTCCATCATGTCTATCCACTTAATGCAGAAAAGAAGGATGCAGAAAAGAAAGAGCCGGACAAAACTTAACATTGAGCGTCTGGGTGATACCACCTACCAACAACAGCTCCAGGCGGCCCTCAGTGCAGACCTGCCCAAGCAGTATCCAACTGATGCTGAAAGACACTGGGGCAGGCTCTCTTCTACCATCATTAACTGCAGCAAAAGCATCCTTGGTCACAAAAAGCGGAAACATCAAGACTGGTATGATGAAAACGACACCGAAATTCAACAGCTCCTAGCCATCAAGCGGCAAACTTTTATCACCTGGCAAAATAACATCAACTGCAAGGTTAAAAGAGCAGCTCATGCCAAAGCGAAGGCAGCCGTCCAATCAAACATTAGGAAACTGAAGAACCAGTGGTGGACAAAGAAGGCTCTGGAGATCCAGCAGCTTGCTGACTCTGGAGATACCAGAGGATTCTTTGATGCCACAAGAGCAGTATATGGCCCCAGCTACCTTTGCCTAACCCTACTTCACTCTAAAGATGGGCTCACGCTGCTGAAAGATAAGGAAGCAATAGCAAACAGGTGGAAAGAGCATTACGAGGATCTTCTGAACAGGGACACCACTCCTGAGATGGAGGCCCTCGAAAAACTCCCTCAACAGCCCATAAATGAGAGCATGGGGGAACCACCCAGCCTGGAAGAGGTGCAGGATGCTATTAGGATGATGAAGAACAACAAGGCTGCTGGTCCTAATGGCATTCCAGCAGAAGTCCTAAAGGAAGGCGGCCCTGATCTCCTTATACACATCCATGCTCTGCTTCTCAAAATATGGGAACAAGAGAAAATCCCTGCACAACTTAAGGATGCCCTGGTTGTCTCCATCTTTAAGAAAGGAGACAAGGCAGACTGCAGGAACTACACTGGCATTTCTCTCCTGTCCACCACAGGAAAAAAGCCCTGACTCAGGTTTTGGCCAACATACTCACCCCTCTGTCAGAAAGCATCCTTCTAGAGTCTCAAAGTGGTTTTCGCCCAAACAGAGGCACGACAGACATGATATTCATTGCTCGCCAACTTCAAAGAACATGTCAGCCTCAGTCCTCAATGGCAGCGGAGATGAAACAGAACCCTTCAGGGTTGACAAAGGAATCAAACAAGGATGTGTCATTTCTGCTGTTCACACTGTTCTCCATCTTCATTGCTTGCTATCCTCCATCTCACAGGTAAACATCTGCCCCAGGGAGTCAAGATTATGTGCAGAACAGACGGGCAACTCTTTAACATCAATCGATTCAGGGCTAAAGGTCGAACCACTACCATATCCATCATGGAGCTGCAGTATGCGGACGACAACGCCCTTGTAGCCCTCTCAGAAGAGGACCTACAGTGCATTCTGGTTGCCTTCACAAAAGCATATAAACAGCTTGGTCTAGCCATCAACATCAGTCACCACCAAACAGTACTCCTGTCCTGCCCCCAAACATCTCAATTGACAACATCAAATTGGAAAATGTGGATCACTTCCAATATCTGGGCAGCCTCCTATCATCAAAAGCCAACATTAACGATGAAATACACCACCGCCTCAGCTGTGCCAGTGGGGCTTTTTCAAGGCTAAGGAAAAGAGTTTTCAAGAACCGCAACCTTCTGGCAAAGACCAAAATCCTGGTCTACAAAGCCATAATGCCACCCACTCTACTGTATGTATCAGAGGCCTGGACCACATACAGAAGGCACTTAAAGGCGCTAGAGGCATATCACCAGAGATGCCTCCGGAAAATCCTCAGGATCAGTTGGGAGGCACCAAAACCAGCGTCCTGGAGGAGGCCGGCATTCCCACCATCACTGCCACCATCGCTCAACACCAGCTTAGATGGACTGGTCATGTTGTCAATATGCCTGACTTTTGCCTTCCAAAACAAGTCCTCTACTCCCAGCTTGCTGAAGGAAAACGTGCCATTTACCATTTACCATAGCATGTCTCTTGATAACAGGATAAAAAGTTATATATCTCTATACATTTTGTGTGTTTTTATTATTATTAGTATCAATAGCATTGGTCATTCTATTTATTGATATAAAAATAAGTAACAAAAGTTGTTTATTTATTTGGGCTTTTATTGCCTTTAATTGAAAGTGACAGCTGAAGAGTGACCAGAAAGTGAGGAGAGAGAGGGGATAACACGCAGCAAAGGGCTGCAGCTTGGACTCACACCTTTAGATGCTGTAGCAAGGACGCAGCCGTGGCACATGGGGTGCCAACTCCACCTGGTGAGCTATCCGGGCACTAAAATAAAAAATTACATTTTAAGTTTTTAAAACTTACCATTTCTGCCCATCAGCAAGAGCATAAAAAACAGCAAACATGGATCCATGTCCTGGTGACAAAAACAAATAAAAAATGTTTTCTCTTAGAACAATATACAATAGATCACAATTAAAATTATAAGATTTCCATACAGTACAACATTGTCCTGACTGTCTGGAGCCCCTGAAGTCCCCAAAAGGAAATATTTTTTTTATTGTGCGAACAAAATATTTACTATAAATTCATATGCATCTCTAACGGCTTCAGATGCACAGCCATCATATAATTAAGAGAACAGCTTATCAAGTTTTATTTTCAC